TTTGGGAATGCTCTGTCCCTCCTTCCCCGCTACCTCCTATTTATTTGGTGTTCGCTAGAAAGCTGGGACTGCTCCGACCAGGCTGGCGTAGGGGTGGTAAAACCCGCTCTCTGCAGGAGGGGAGGTTGGTGGCTTGAGCAGTTGCCTGAGAAGCCCTTGTGGACCAGGAACTGCCCCTCGGGCAGGGCTGTGCTAGCTGAGCCCCGGGGTTCACCCCTCCCTCCGTGTTTCCGTGAGCCTCTCGTTTGTGCCAGCTTCTTGGTGATGCTGCTGCAGAAAGGCTCGGAAGGTCCAAAGAGTTTCTTCAGCATTTAAATGACCGTTGCTTCTCAGGCTGCTAGAGCCGCGTCGCCGTTGCTGGTTCTAGACCACCAAAAAGGTAACAGCTTTCTCACACCAGCTAACTTTCCGGGGCCGACCTCCAGGGAGCTTGATGCTGCTCCCTTCCCGCACGTTAGTCGTGGCCGAGCGTGTTAGAGCAGAGTCCTGGCGAGCGTTGACAAAGGCGGTCTGACGTGCACCCTGGGCTGCCTGCACACGCTCGGGTGACCGCAGCACAGCATCTGAACTCAACACAGGCTCCAGAGGTAGATGCTAGAAGCCTAAGAGTGGTTGCTTAGTGTCCCAGCTGAGGCAGAGAGAGACCGGTAGGAAAGAGCCGATGAACTTGGTTTTTCTCTTTTCTATTCTTTTAGTTAAAAGTATATGAGGGGGTTCAGCCGTGAGGGGGGAAAAGACGGACTGTAATGGTACGAAATCTTATTGCTTACAGAAGCTCCCAGCATGTGAGGGTGAAGGTCTTTTGTTTTAAGTGTTGCAGTAAACATGCTAGCACTCCTGACCAGAGGGGGCGAGGTCACGAGAGACGCTGTGTCACCACCACTACGCTGGCAGGAGGCCTCGTCGGGACAGGATCTTCAGGTGTGCTCTACTGTGCCCGGCCCTGCCCGGCCCGGCAGTGGCCGCTGGATGTCCCGTGTGGACTAGCAGTAACCCCATGTGGTGAATTCAGCTTTGTCCAAAGGAGAGCATAAAATCGAGTATGTCCTGTTTCCTCGTTCAGTTTTAGGAAAGGAAAACATGAACGAATTCAGAAAGGAAACATGTTAACTGGATGCCTACTGAAACCAGGTCAGAATGCTCACCCTCCCCCCGCCTGAGAGACTGCCACAGAACAAAGACACCAGGCGTTTAAATCAAAGCCTTTTCCCTGATTAACTGGCAGAGGCAGAGGCCAATGTAGAGAAAGAAAAAACATTTTTAAGAACTGAGAAGATGTAAAAATACAGGGGAGAAGAGGGAGGCAGCGTGGTGAAGTGGGCCGTGGCCTGCGCTGGAGGCTCCACGGGCAGGTCTCTGGGCCCAGGGCCCTTGGCACATCCCTCCGGCCCAGCCGGCTGCTCAGCTCGACAACCATGGCCAGCCTAGGGGAGCTGTGCTCAGCTTCCTTTGCGTTCTAGGGGGCCGGGCTTTTTATTCAGCCAAGGCTGGGGGATTGAGGCCTGGACGTGTGTTGAAGTTACCCAGCCTGAACATTTAGGCTTTTATGTTGCAAAGGACTCAAGTCAATAGTAAGGTTTAGTTTGGTTTTAAAAACAATAAACCTGCCAGGGGCCAACAGGCCACCGATTGCGCTGCAGCGAGTCTTTTTAAGGACTGAAAGGTGATAGTAGAGGGACACTAGAGAGAGAATTCGAGCCTGGGAGCTGGCAGGGCAAAGGTATTAGAATAGTTAGAGCATCAGGTCGAGCAGCTTGGGCAGGTCAGGCTTGGGCAGCTCGGGCAGCCTCTGCCCGGCCACTCGGAGCATGCTTGCCTGCCTCAGAGCCGTGTGGCCAGCGTGCGTGACCTGCTCTGCTCCCCACCCGACACTAACCAGGGTCAGCACAGGCCCTGGGGTTGCAGTCTGCTTCTTGGGCAGCATGAAATTTGTTTTCAAAAGGAGCACTACAGTTCATGGGGGCGGCGTGGTCTCCATAGAGAAAGCGCATTCCCGAGTCCACTGCAGGACGGAAGCGCGTGGGCCTCTCTCAGACAGGACTTTGAGGGATTTTTAAAAAGCTTTTGACAGGGCTCTGCCATAAAGTCTACAGACATCGTTAGTGTAGCATTGGAAGACGTACCTAGTCACGAGTAAGAAAATAAATCCAAAGGCAGGAGACAGAGGTCGTTTCTTGGGTCAGGAGGTTTTTAAAGGCTTCCGTGAGCCGAGTGCTAGGCCCAGCTGTGGGCGGCCAGTGGGCGGCCGTGGCCTTCCTAGCTTGGTCAGCAGAGTGTTTCAGCTGCTGGGGATTCTTACCAGGCTCCGTGGGTGCAGAGAAGCGACAGGTCAGCTGCTGTGTGTGCCGTGTGGAGGGGAAAGGGGCCAGCTCTTCCGAGCAGGGAACCTGGGAGCCACTGACATGGACGGTGAGCCCACCGTGCAGCTGTGGTCCAAGAGGCTGGCACATCACGGGGCAAAATCAGGACGACAGGACACGAAACTCTAGACCCTGGGCCGTCCCCATTTGCCACAGCCTGTGTAGTTTCTAGAGGTTTTGTCACAAAAGGCCAAAGTTTTATGGTTGTGCAGAAGGGGGTGGCTGATCCAGCGGCCGCGATGAGGGGGTCCCCGTGAGCTGGGCTGTAGGGGTTCAGACTCACAGTTCCGAATGAAAACTTGGGTGTTTCTGTGTAGAGAATGTAGCATGTGCTGTGACTAGCCAGTGGGAGTTTGTACCAAATACTAGAACATCCACTTGAAGCCAGAAAGAACGGGAGAACGAGTGAGAGGAAGTGCCACGTGGAGTGCCAAGAGATGGGAGGAAGCCGTGCAGGTTAAGGAGAGTGCGGGTGGCGTGGAGGCTTGGTCTGGAGCCACAGTCCGGGTGGAGGGCCACCCAGCCTCTCTCAGTGGTCCTAGGCCGAGCCCGATCCCACCCAGAGACCCCACCCACGTCTCCTGCGGGGAAGAGAGGGGCTCATGGAATGACCCCCATCAGCGCAGCTCCCCCTGCTCCTTTCCACTCTGGAGGTGCACGCTGGAAACCGATCTCCAGCCCCACCATGTCTGTATGTTTCTGCCCAGACTTCTCTAACTCGAGCCCTCCTTGCCCCTCCCCTTCCCTCCTCCCTCCCCTCCTCCCTCCCCTCCCCCGTGTGGCAGAGGAATTGGTTGCCCTCCAGGAGGCTTTTCCGTATAGGTGAAAGAGCAAGTGTAGGTCGGAGCCGGCCCCAGGCTGCTGCTGTGACCCTTGTCCCATGTGGCTCGTGTCCCCATCCAGGGCTCTCTGACGTGTGCAGGGAGAGTGGGTTCCTGTCTTTTCCATGCTGTCCTCCGGTCTGTACGTGCTCACCTGAGAGAAGAGGGGCTGTAGCAACCAGGGAAGCCTGCCCGGGGTAGTGAGCCCCTGCACCCGCCACTGCAGAGCCCTCTGCCCCCCTTCCCTTCCCTTCACCACCGAATTGTCCGTCGGGGATAAGTAGGTCAGTTGAACCATTGGAATAGATGCTTTAGAGGAGACCCCTGAGAGTTTGAGACCCACCCCCCATCACCCCCTCCTCCTTTCCCCCACCTCGCTACAGTGTTTGGACAGGAGGGTACAGCGCTGCTGGATGCAGCAGATACTCTGGCTGATCAAAGAGGCGGCCGGGCATTTTGCACTAGGAAGAATCAGTGATCACTTTTCAGAAGACTTCTATGGACCATAATAAGTATATTACGGAGGAACAGATTTTGTTAAGACGTAATCTAGTTTTGTAACTCAATCATGGATCAACCACATGTGGCTAACTTGCAGTTTAAAGGGGTCCCATCAGTGAAAAAAAGATTTTTTTTTAACCGACTGCTTTTAGTTAAATTTGAGAAAGTCCTCTTGTCAAAAGGTTTAAACCTTCCCGCCTTGATCTTAAAAGCATGTCAAACAATCCACGTCAGATGCCATAAACAAGAACTGCGAGAGAAAATGGTACAATCTTAGTAAATGGGAATTGGAATCAAAAGGGTTTGCTGTCCTTCTTAGAACGTTCTAAAATGTCAAGGCAGTTGCTTGTGTTTAACTGTGAACAAATAAAAATCTATTGTTTTGCACTATTCTGCTGTGTTGACATGAAGTGACTCGCGCTGGCCTCTGAGGGACTTGTAGGCAAAGTAGGGACCCGTCCACAGACGCAGAAGCTTCCAGCCTGGCTTGGTTGGTCACCTCAGGTGGCTGGAGGAGGTGCTGACAAGTAGAATCTGGCTTTCGTCTCTCTAGGACCCTTTTTGTTCTAGCCCATTCTCTGGCCCACAGCCACAGATCCTCCCTTTCTCTGCCTCGGATTCCTGCCTTCCCCCGCCGAGAGTGGCATGGTGGCATGGAGCGGGTGATGTGAGTCATCCCCACCCAGACTCTCCAAGCCGGACGGCCTGCAGGGGCTGCACTGCTGTCCCACCTCGTGCTGGGAGTATGCTTGCCTCCCTACGAGTTGGCTGGCCGTTGGCTTTAATACAGTCCTTTTGGTGGCACCCAGGTGACACCGAGGTCATCGAGAGCTTACCGGTCCTGTTCTGTGAGTGTGCCAGGGAGAAGGGCAGCTGGCACCCACCACCTTCCTTCCGTTACGTCATCAGGGGTTTGGAGGAAGGCAGGAAACTACCTCAAACAATTGTTCGATCCAGCCTTGCCTCACCATCTCTTCCTTGGAACAGACATTTCCAGCTGTCCCTGGAAATCGGTATGCTCTGCCTATGTTAATGGCGGAAGCAGCTCTTTGAGAGAAAGACTCAGAGATGGCAGTTTTTGATTTTGTCTGGAAAATTCAGATGTCTATTCAGATTCCTGTCTGAACAGCTTCTAACTACGGAAGGCCAGTTACGAGCTGGCCTGTGGGTCTTTGGCATGATCCCCCCGAGAGCAAATGTCTATAGTGGTTGCTCTTTGCTCGTGGTTTTGCTTGTGAGGCTACTGGCCAGTGTCCTCTGAGGTCTTAGGGTAAATAAAGAAGGGATAACTCCTAGGAAACCAAGCCAGGCAGAGAGGTGGGAGAACACTTTTTATTCTTGACGGTCGCCCCCGAGGAAGCAAGAACACAGAAGCTAAGTCGCCCCCTGTGAAGGGAAAAGCCAACAGTCAGTCAGAACTTCCAGCAAGCGCAAAAGCCAGAGACACATTCTATAATGTCGGGGCCTTGACTGTGTTGTGAAAATCAGGAAACTGTCCTTGCACGGGAGCCATAAAATCAGAATTCTTCCGGCTTCTCTCATGGCCTCCCCTCTCCCAAGTAAAGGAGAGCAAAGGCAGGTTCGTTCCCCTTTGGGTTTTGGTCCAGAGACCTAATCACACTGAGGAAGTCCACCGTGCCGGCCCTCAGCATCCTGGCAGGCCAAGCAGCCAGATCTTGCAGGAGCCGAGCCTTGCCTACAGTTGCCGCTGTGGTGGGAAAGGAGCTGGCAGGCCTCCGGCTCGGCGGCTCGGCCCAGAAAGCCGGACCTGCAGCGTGGCCGGGCCCGGCAGGGTGCGGGCTGGGAGCTCCCAGAGCACCTGGGCAGGCCGGTGACCCCAGCTCTCAGCAGCCTCCCCGGGACACCCGCTCCCACCAACACCGGAAGTGGGGGTCCTCTTCATTGGCTCAGAGGCGAGGAGAGCTTAGAAGTGAACGTGACAGAGGGAGAGAGGTTCTCAACAGTATATTGGGCAGGCCCTCTGGGGTTCATCCGTGGCGGGGACTGTGGGCGCCAAAGAATGGATCAGCCGGTGGAGACCAAGTTAAGTGACCAAGCACCCTACGGGACGCAGCAGCTTGCCGGCTCTGAGTTACAGTTTCCCGCCAGGCGGTCTCCAGGGAGGTTTGAGACATCCTGTGTCATTCCCCCTAGGTTTGGGGCTGTCTTTTGTAAGTCGCCTACGTTTGTGCTTCCTTAACCGAGGCTGGGTGCCTGTGGTCCAGGCAGGGCGAGCGGCCGCCCCGGTGGCTTCCTGGTGTGCCTGGGGCTCACTCACATGCTGCAGGGCTTTGCGGGGCAGCTTCTCCGAGTGGGCGACCCATTCTTTCATTAAGTCCAGGACGATGGGGATGAGGCTGACGATGCCTCCGTAGTGGTTCCTGGCCTCGTCACAGCTGAGGTGGTTCACCACGTCGTGAGGGTACCTGCGGGGCAGCAAGAGGGCTCCGTCCAGGCCCGGGGCAGGCCCTAATCCTGGGCGCCCCTCAGAATCCCCTGGGGAGGCTTGGGGCCGCACGGGCCGAGCCGCACTCTCTCCCGGACCGCGGTTCGGCGGGCCTGCGGCCCAGGAGCCCTGGCTGATGCAGGGGTGAGGGGCAGGACTCTCGAAGCACTCGCCTTCGGTTGTAGAACCCCGGATCAGGGGCCCTGGAAACCTGCCGGAACTGCTCCAAAACCTGCTGGTTAGTCCCTCTGCCTCTTCTCCACCCCGATAACTAAACGGCGTGCTCCGAACAGGGCGCCCTGTGCTGAGGGCCCCCGGGGCGCAGAATGAGGGAGCCGCACTGGCGGTACTGGGGCTTCTCCGTGGGCTTCTGGGAACACGTGCCCTGCGACCCCCTTCCCTTTGCCCGGTACTGGCTCCACTCTACCTGCGGCCTCAGCAGCCCTCGTTTGCACTAAAACGGCTTGTGGGGTTGGCCCTTCCAGCAAGTCAGTGGGCCTGGGAGTTCCCACCGGGGCAGGGGCTCTGGACAGTCGCCACAGGATCCACCCGCGGGGACGCACCTGCCCTCTGGGCAGAAGCCGGCTCCTTCCTGCTGGTCGGTCGCCCCGCTCCCTCCCCGCCCCGCTGCCCTCCGCAACAGGCCCAGAAGGGACTCACTTTGCCCTGAGGCTGCTCAGGTCGTTGCTTTGGCTAACCAGGGATTTGCATTTCTCAAGCAGGTTGCTGGTGGCCGGGCTGCCGGAGTGCAGGGCTTCGAAGTGCTGACACAGCCTGCTCAGCTCTGCGCAGATGTCCAGGAACAGGCGCAGAACGCGCCGGTCTGTGGCGTTGTGGCAGTAATGCTCCGCGTAGCTCTGCACCTGCGGGGGCCGCAGGCCGGGCGCTCAGGGGGCGGGGTCACGGGGCCCACGCGGCTGCACGCAGTTTCGGTCACGGTCACGGAGCGTCCCCGGCGCTGCGCCACGCGCCGTGCAGCCTGGACCTCGCACCTCTCAACACGCTCACCTAAACCCCACCGGGCACCACGCACCCCAGCCAACACCTAAAGCAAAGAGCGCTGCTCCCCGACCTTTCGGGCCACAGTCCCCCTCAGGCCCCACTGCGGAGCAGAGAGAAGGCACTAAATCCTCTGAAGTTTCCTCGTCCTGTGTCTCCAAGGTAGAGGAAGGAGGGACAAGGGGAGCCGGCAGAGGGATCACCCACAGAAGGTAGTCTGAACCTCACACCACACACTGACACCAACTCTAGGATGAAGAGCGTAAACGCCAAACAAAACGAAAGCTCCCCTGTGAACGTGTTCCAGATGCAGGAGTCGGGACGCCTTTCTCCAGTCCTTAAAGGTGTTCAGAATGGTGAGACCGCTGATCCGCGTTCAACCCCTCTCCCTGGGCGGAATGGAGGTCCTTCCCGGGCAGGGGCTCTTCCTCTCTATCCAACCTCACCTCCCCCCCCCGCCCCGCCCCTGTCTCTCTGGATCTGAGGTCAGGCAAGGGGGAGGCCTGGCCTTGGGCTGGGGAGAAACTGGCTGCGGTCCAGGCAGGATCACTGGCCCATTTCCCCAAGGCAGGCCCTACCCGTGGCGGGCCGGTGGCCGGGGACATCACCTCCCTCCCCTAGCAGCCAGAACTTTTAAGTCTAAACCAGGTCGCCTTTCTGTTGCTAGGGGATGTCCTCCCACATGATCTGAGTGGTTGCAAGTCCAGCAGCTCTGGGGGGTGGGGGGGCTCCGGCCACCTCCATATCTGCTGGGCACTGCGGAGGGTGAGGAGGGGCCTGGCCCGCGGTGTAACCACAACACAGCAGTCGCTGGGCTACCTGGTGTGTGCGCGGGTTACCTGTGGATGACCCAGCTCAGGGAGGGCTTCCCACAGAGAGTCAAACCCTGGGGCCGCTGTTTACCAAGAGCCTTTGCTGAACCAGGGGCCAGAAGGCCACTCCCTTGTGCGTGTGAGGGGGGTGGGGGTGCGGGTCTCAGATGCTCCTTCCTGATAAACCTGTCCAGTGGCCTTGGAAGTCAGAGCCTTTGGGGAACGGGCTAGAAAAAGGATGTAGCTAACTGACTTCCAGATAGTTCAGGGGAAAGAGGCTATTTTCTGTAGGTTTAAAAAGTTTTCAAGTTAAAAAACCGGGAGAGGCTTTTACATATATTAGAAGAAGGGATTTTTTGAAGGATGCAGGCAGGGTTGCTATTCTCTGTGGGCCCGTGCACTTCTCCTAAGCAGTTCTGAGCTCTGAGGCCGCACCCGCCCCACGCCATGAGCCACTGGCCTTCCACAAGCTGACCGTGGGCCCGAGGCATGAGTGCAGTTGGGAGGGTCCCACCTACGTGTGTGCCGCTTCCTGGAAGGCATGTTCGGTCTTCGGCAGAGCAAACTGGGATAGAGCTAACTCACGAGGACACCCGGGTTACGTGAAAATGTTTGCAGACGGAGGTGGGGTGGGGGTGGAGCAATGTGCTTGGCGCCTCCCAGTTTCTCAGATCCCAGTAGGATCTGACAGCTGGGACCACAGGCATCAGACGCTGGCTGAGAGTCTCCCTCATGATCTCCCTAAATCCGCATACTACCCGGAGGTTCTCACTCTACAGAGTAACAACTGGGGCACAGACAGGTGACTGCCGGCCGGAGGTCACAGGGTGCGTGGGGCTGAGCCAGGACCTGAACCCTGGCTGGCAGTGTCCAGCCCATGTTTGTAACCACTTTGTTATTTACTTGGGGAGGGGATGCCTGGCTCATTCCACTAGTTAGGCTCCGAGTCCTGACTCTGGCACAAAGGTGCTTGCCCCCTCTGGGCTTCAGTTTCATCTTTCAAGTAAGGTGTCACCCAGGAATCTCTGGGCCTGGCAGGCCCCTGGGAGCCCGGCCCCGCCGCCCGCCAGCCCACGGGATGCCACCTGTCCGATGCTGGCGATGGGCCGGATCTTGTCATGGGCGTTCTCCCTGCAGTGCTCCAGAGCGGCGATGAAGGTGAACTGTTGCTGTTGGAAGAGCTTGTACTTCTGCTCGATGTTTCGAAGAGACTCCTTCACCTCATTCATTGTCTTCCTCAGTGGTCATTCACAGGAGAAGGGGGATCTATGGGGAGGAAGAGTGCAGGGCTGAGGCCCCAGGCACAGACTGCAGAGCCAGCTCTGGAGTCCCAGACCAACATGCCTAGGCCCCTCTCGGGCGAGCACTGCGCTCACTCCAGATGCCCCAGGCCGTCCAAGACAGAGCAGAGCCTGACCCAGGTCCCTCTACCCTCCAAGGACACATTCTTTGCCATCAACTGTGACTTCCTTCCCTCAAGTGTGGACACAGATTGCTCTGGTCCTCAGTTTCTCCAGACCGTGGACACACACACACACACACACACACACAGCCTCCAATGCCTTCCTGTGCTGTCAGCAACAGAGGGGATCACGGCATATGTCACAGAAAATAAGATCTGTGATTATCAGTTCGGACCAAATCATTTTAAACCATCTGCCTCTTTGCAATTGGTGGGAAAGTCTAGGGATTGTTTCCAGTGGGCCAAGCAGGGGAAGAGCCTGTCCTGGATTGTCGAGTGTGAGAAGGTGCAGTTTCCCTGCTCTGTGCTTGGGTCAGGAGCCCTGATCTCAGGCTGGCACATTCTCAGGGCGGGGGCTGGCCTGATGGGAAACATTAACGCCATGGGGAGTGCTCTCTTCTGGTGCCTCACAGACTGTCCCTGGTGTGGTTCAGGTAGTCCACAAGGCGTCTAGAATCTTCTGTGAGCAGAGAAGGCTGTGGGTTCTGCTCCCTGTGACACCAGTTTTGCTGAGCCTGTGCAAGATACCCAGGGCCCAGATTACGGAGCCCCAGAACTGGGAGACCTCGGTCGGTCAACTCCCCTTAACTTCCGGCGGGGGGCAGCTGAAGTCCAGGGTGTCACAGCAAGCTCGTCGGAGACCCCCTAGGTCCCAGGCTTCCTGACATCTGGCCAGAGTCCTCGAAGCCGCCCCAGCCGCCGCGCCTCCACCACGAGGCAGCGGCACGCGTGTGCCCTGTGTGAGCGGGGGTCAGAGGAGGCTGAGCCACGGTGGGGTCCAAGTGAGTCGCTGCAAGGGCTGGGGCGGGGCAGAAGACATCCCAGGCTTCCCGGCAGGCCCCAGGTGGAGAGGAGCAAGCCCAAGGGAGACGGGAGCCCAGGGCAGGGCTGGAGCAGGGAGGGCATCTCCGAGGCAAGAAGAGGGATGAAAGGAAATGCAAGAACAGATGAGAAGGTGGCCTCCAGGACACGATGGGGGCGGCACATCAGAGAACTCGGGGAGCGCTGGGAGCTGAGTCGCGCCAGGATGGGCCCTGATAATGGCGCCCTGTGAACCTCAGTGGGTCGAGGAGGACATTCAGCAGCAGTGCCCAGCGCACCGCCCCCCCCCCCCCCGCCCCCGGGAGCCACGGTGCCTGTTTGCTCACAGCAGCTGCAGCTCTATGGGGGTGGGCCTGGGCCAGGGCCGGGCTGGGCGCCCGTGTCCTCCCCACTCAGTCCCCTGCCTGCCGTGGGCGAGCGCAAAGGAGAGCCTGGGTTGTGGGGATGCAGTGGGGGCCCTCTCTTTGTCAGACACCTGGAACCCCTGCCAAGGTCCCCCTACCCCCTGCCCAGAGGTGGCAATGGGGGACGGGGTAAAGGGGGGCAAGGTTTTGGGTTGTATCTCCAATGGTGCAGGCTTACCAGGCAGGTGAGGCCCTCGGTGTGAAACTGAAGGGGCACCACAAAGCCCAGCAATCAAGCCAGGTAAAAGTATTTGACACACTATTTGAAGAAATAAAAGTCAATAGCAAAAAGTCCACAAAGTGCCTGAATTTTAAGTAAACACAGGATGGGATCCAGTGCGGGGCCTTTTGCTGTACAGGAGTCCGAGGCAAAAGCAACAAGTAATACTGATCCTGTCTTTAAATTTTTAATAGTTTACTCTCAATGGTTTTTTTGCATTAGTTTTGATGTTTTTAAATGTTATTCGTCCTGATGGCGGGGGTTTTTGGTGCCCTTCACATTCTGCGTCAAGGCAACCGCCTTACTTGCCTCACCTAGTTTGGGCCTGGGGCTTACAAGTGACGCGGGGGCTGAAGGCCTAGGAAAGTCGGAGCCCAGCACACAGGGGGGTTTCGGGGGAGGAGTGGGAGCACGTGCTTTCAGTCTGGCCTTCCCCCATTAACGCTCGGGGCTGTGCTGGGTGGTTAAGAACCCAAGCCCGGAGTCCCATAGTCCTGCTTCAAATCCTGGTGCCCCTGCGGGGTGAGCCTCCGTGTTCTAACATGCTATTGGGAGAGGACAGGGCCAGCCTCTCAGCCTTGGGGTGAGGACTGTGGCAGGTGGCAGGTGTGGAGCCCAGCGCCTGGAATGCGGCAGCACCTGGTTGTCGGGGCAGCGAAAGCAGCTGTGATTACACGGTGTGCACACAATCACGGCAGCAGGCCACGACAGGCACAGTGTGCACCCCGAAAGCAGAGGCTGCTGAGGGCTTGACCTCCTGGAGAGGAGAGGTGGGGAGGGTGGGGCAGAGGGGTGGGGACCCTGGCTAGAGGCTGGGAGGGGGTTATGTGGAATATTGTGAGCAAGCACAGAAGGCAGTGGACAGGGTAAGGCCGAGGGACCTAAGCGTCAGACAAAGCTAGGAGAACCACTGAAGGCCAAGAGGGGTAAGAAGCATGTCATGCGTTCATTCGTTCATTCATTCATTCATTCTGCAATGCCTCCCATACGCCAGACACCATTCTGAGTGCTGGGCTATATACAGCATTGAACAAAATAGACAAGATCCCCTTCCCTGGAGGGACTTATCTTTCAGAGTGGGAGGCAGACAATAAGGATGAGTGAATGAACCATGTTTTAGATAAGGGCACTGCTAAAGAGAAAAGGAAGCTGGGCAGTGGGATGGGCGTGTCGGGATGAAGAGCTTCACAGTCTGCAAGAGGGTCCTTTGCAGGGGGTGGGTGGGTGCGGGGCAGGGCAAACTAGAGCCATGCTCCAGCCTTCAAGGAGATCCTGAACACCCACCCCAACCCTCCTAACAGCAGTTACTCTCCATGGGGCCCTAGGAAAACCCTGGCCATGCATTAAGTCCTCACCTATGAAGGTACCATGATTATCCCATGACAGATGACGAAGCTGAGGTTACCCAGGTAGGAGAAGTGAGCCAACCAGGATCTCCCACTCAGCTCTGCCTAACTTTATAAAGTCTGGGCTCTCGGATAGCTCCCTCCTCTCTCTGTGATGGTCCATAGAGACAGACATGCCAGACATCAGATTGACCAGAGCTGGGAGCGGGTGGGTGGGGTGGAGGGGATACCAAAGGCCTGAAAAGCTGCTCAAACCCCCCTAGGGGTCAGGCACTGGCTGGACCCCTGGGCCTCATTTCCACTCCCGTGAGACTGTTCTCTGTTCCCCATCCCCTAGGGGGCTGCCCTAGGTGTCTGACTTCCTGCCACCCTCCTGGGGCTTCCTGGGGCTGTCAAGTTCTCTAAGGTTATAGCACTACCTCAGCTGGTGGCCCCAAGAGCCCCTGAGAGCAAAACTGACGTGGCTCTTGATCCTAGTGACTTGTGACATGCGCGCCAGGAATGTCGTGAGAAGAGCTGTAATAAGCTATCCAAAGTGATCGTCCCTTGAACGAGAGTCACTGCAGCCAAATTAGTGTGGATGAAAGGCACAGGGTGCAGGCACTTCTCGATCTGGGGGAGGAGGAAGGAAAAAATGATTACCCAATAGGTTTTAGGCTTTAATTGATTTGTATTTTTCCAGGCTGCTAAAGAAGATTAAATCGTGGTATGAAAAGCGCCTAAGGCTTAAAATAAATGAGGAGAAAGACAAGTCATTTCAGAAATGTCCAGGAAGCAAAGTGAACCTCTCCAGTGCAAATTGCGGGTTTGGTTGTTGTGTTCTTTGTTCAGGGGGAGGCAGCTTCCTTTTCTTCCCCAGCTGTCTTTGCAGTTGGCTTTGACAAGCCAACCAAGGTGTGCACGCTTTGAGGAAGCGGCTCTGAGGGGAAGAGGCAGAACTGCAGCCTTTTACATTGGAGGGCATGTCTCTGGGCAAGTGGCCGGTGGTGACGGCTTTGGCTAGGAGTCAGACGTCAGCCCTGGCTCTGCCTTTGCTTAACAAGTGAACTTGGCCAAGAATTTCCCTCTTTCTGGGCCTCAGTTTATCCATCTGTAAAATCAGTGGGTTTGGATTAGAAGATCTTCAAGGGGACTTCTGATTTTAATGCTTCACGATCAACCCCTGATGAGGAAAGAGGCCCAGAAAAGGGAAATGACTTTTGCCAGAAGTCATTCAGCCACAACCACTTTTCACCATTCTGATCCTCCAATTTCTTATCTGTAAAATGGGAATGAAGGTACTTATTTCTCAGGGCTGGTGCAGAGATTAAACGAGATAATATGGCTAATAGTAGCCCCTATGCATTGTGCACTTATTACATGCCAGTTACCAATACTTCAGGTATATTAGCTTCCTGGAATCCTTCCCTAATCCCCACTTCACAGGGGAGGAGAGTGAGGCACAGAGCAGGCTCACAAGGCCAGGTGGAGCCAGGAGCTGAACTTGGGGCAATCTGTACTGACAATGCCAGACGTCCTGTCCATAATGTACAGACCCCATAGTTTTGTTAAGAACACTGAGGGCTCAAAACCAGGAGTAGCTCCTCCTAAAAATGGCAACAGACAAAAAGCTAGAGCTCCTAGTTCAGCGCTGTGTCTGATACCAGGCTGCCTGCCCTGTCCCACTGCGGACTGGCGCAACTCAAAAAGCTCCTTCCCCCAACCATGTCCTACCCCAGCCCGGTCCCGCACCAGCGGCAGTCCCCTCCATTCCTTCCCCCCCAACCCCCAGGGTTTGGGTGGGCCCGCCCGCCCCCGGCCCGCTTTAACCTTACTGCTCCTAGAGCAGCCTTCACTTACAGAGCGCTCTGAAGCTGGAGTGCCTCCAAGGATGTCTGGGGCCCCGGAAGGGCGGGGAGGCCCTTCCCAGGCCTGGGGAGGTCGATGAGAAGGGGCGGGGCCGCGGGCCCGATTGTTCCCGTGGGTGCCATAGCAATCGGGTCACGTGGCAGCCCCGCCCCACCCCGTGAGCCTAGGCCTTCCCGCCCGCCCCAGGGACTCCCCTACTTTTTCAAACCGTTCCCCAGCCTCTATTCATTTTAAAGATGGGGAAGCTGAGGCCCAGAGAACAGAACTGGGCCGGCCCTCAGAGCTCCCAACGCCCGGGTCGGGGTGCGACGGCGGAACCAGCGCAGGACCCGCCTCCCATCCCCTCTGTTGGTGGGAGGGTCGACGTGACCCTGAGCGTCCCAGCACCGGGGGCCCTCCCGAGGCACCTCTGGTCCTAGAAGGCCACTGCTGGAGCGGCCTGAGGGGTCCCGCTGAGACGTGCAGACTGCGGAGCGAGGCCCGCGCGGGGAAGCACCTGCCCCGCGGCGGCTGGTCGCGCGGGCCGAGGAGCCGGGGACCAAGCCGTGCTCCAGCCTGGAGGGCCGGCGGGCGCGCGCTGATGACGTAAGCGGCGGCCCTAGCGACGGCGGTCTCCAGGGCCGGCGGGCGCGCGCTGATGACGTAAGCGGCGGCCCTAGCGACGGCGGTCTCCAGGGCGCGGGCGCGCGCTGATGACGCGGCGGCGCGCCGGCCCTAGCGACCGCTGTCTCCAGGGAGCGGGCGCCCTGCACCGCGGCATGGACGCGACCACCGCCCCGCACCACGTACCCCCGGAAATGCCCCAGTACGGGGAGACGTACCACGTCTTCGAGCTGATGCAGGTGACCGAGGCGGCCCCGCCCTGTCGCGACACCGGGCGCCGGCCGGGAGCCTCCGTCGCGATAGGGTGCGCGGCGGCGACCCCGCAGCTGGGGGGTGTCCGACTCCTGTACCGCCGGGACCCCGAGGGATGACTCGGTCGGAGGACGCCCCGCGTCCCTGCCCTGCGGACCCAGGAGGGAGGAAAGGGGGCAGGCCCTGGCCAGGATTTGGTCATGGCCCTGGGCCGGCCAGCTCAATGGCCTGGACCAAGTCCCATTCTTTTCTCAGTTCCGGCAGCTGTGAAATGCCAGGTTGCAAGAGCTGGTCTCCAAGGGGGCCCTTCCCGCGCTGACAGACCCCAGCCTGTCTGCAGTGTTCGTTTCTGAGCTGGGGAGTGTCCGAGTTCAAGGTGACATCACCGTCCCCTGAGATGGCTGCGACCGGGGACAGGGGACAGCAGCCCCGTGGCTCGGGCGGCAGCATTTCCCACACGGCCCTTCTTCATTAGGGCGGGAGTTCGGGGCTGCTCCCAAGCTCTCATCCTGGGTGTCTGACTTGACCGGCCCTCTCTCCCTGTGTGCGCTTTGGCAAAGCCCTGCCCCTTCTGGTTGCCCTTCTGCACCTCCTGGAGGCAAAGGCTTTCGGGAGCTGGACTGAAAGAACTCTCTGTCGCTCAGAGGTTGTGAGGGCCGAAGGGACGCTGGAGCCCAGTTTCCAGAGCATTTGCTCCTCCAAGTACACCCTATCCCCAGAGGCACCACTGTGGGGACCCCTGTGCTCATTTGAGCCTCTGACCTGCACACCTGAGAGCAGAGCTCAGACTCAGAAGTGTCACCATCTCTCCAGCAAACACATGCTTCCTTTGGAAAGTGTTACCTGGCAGAGGGAGGGAGAGAGATTTCTCTAAAACCGGGTGGCCAGTCTGAGAAAAGAAAATGGCCAGCTGAGTTGTAAGTCATCCGCTGGTGGGCAGGATGGGGCCAGCTCCTGGGGGCGCTGTGGTCTGTTCTAGGGAGGCTGCTGTATCTCAGAGTGACTTTTGGATGGAACAGTCCGCAGAAGCTTTTAGTCCAGTATTTTCAGTCCTTAGTCATTTGTGTGTGTTCCCTCCGTGGATCTTACCATCTTCATTTCTTACACTTTTTAAAAATAATTTTAGACCCACAGGATGTTACCAAGATAGTACAGAGTTCTGATGTACCCATCCCCAGCTCCCCCTACTAAGACCATCTAACGTCACTCCTTGACATTCACAGTCCTACAAGACAGTTAACCAGACAGAGGCCTTATTTGGATTTCATCCGTTTTTACCTGCACTTCTTTCTTTTTCTGTGTGCACGGTTCTATTGAGATGTTATCACATATATCGATTCATACAACCACCACCACAATTCCACTTTCACTTAGTCATTTCTTTAAATCAACCCACTTAAAAAAAAAATCAACCTGTTTTACCTCCTCCTGAGCAATATCTTTGAAATCCTAGGTTTCCTAATACACAATAGATACACAACTGCTTAAAAGCGAAATTAAAAACACTCATCTGTAAACCAGCTAGCATCATCTCACGCCGTCTCCGCAGTGCGAGCCGACCAGAGGCCTCGGCCAGTCGGGCCCTCCACCAGCTGGGGAAGCTGAGGCTCGGATAAGGGAAGCGACTTGCTGGTGAGGTGCAGAGCGGAGCTAGGACTTCTCACAGCTCCGAGCGCTCTACGCATCCACACGCCCTCCGCCCCCAGAGGCAAACACCCCTCCCTGGTTGTCCCTGAAGGATGCTCCTTCCTGCGCCAGCGTAGCTCCTATTATCTACCCAGTTCCTTTCTGTGCCTCTTGTTCTGGAACCATGGAAGCTGCTTTTCCTTGGAATTAAATGGTCAGACTAGCCCAGGACTGTTTAGATACTTGGCTGGTAAATATTCTGCCCCACCCTGGAGGGACACGGGTAGCAGTGATGGCCATGCCCCCCAGCAGATGTTGGTATTGGGCACCTACTGTGAGTGTGCCCAGCATCGGGACAAGGGTGAGGCAATAACGGAGCTGCAGGAGCATATGGCAGGATATATCTAGTGAGTGTGATCAGGAAGGTATGTTTCCATGGAGACTGGAGGACGCAGGGGGACAAGTGTTCTAAGCTGAGGGAACAGCATTTGCTAAGGCTCTGAGGGGCACATGAACATGGTGCATGAGAACTAAGAGAAGGCTGGTCTGGGAAGCACAAAGGGACTGAGGGGAGAGGACCCTGGGCCTGCCTGCTCTGAGTCCAAGGGCAGTCCCTCCAGGAGCCTCCCCGGTGATACCCACACGACCCTTCCCTCATCCTCTGCTCATGGGGACCCAGGCAGACAGCAGCTGGAGCAGGGGCTGGATCCCAAGTTGAAGGCATGTGTGGTGGGTGTGGTGGAGAGATCAGGCCCCATAACCGGTGTTGGTAGCGACCAGGGTTCTGGGCCACCTGAGCCTGAGCCCGGGGCTCTGGATGCCCACGCAGCTGTTAACCACCTGGGTGTCTGCCCTGTGCCCACAGAACATGCTGGAGCAACTCCTGATCCACCAGCCCAAGGACCCCATCCCGTTCCTGATCAGTCACTTGCAACAAGACAATGATAATGGTGAGCATTCGAATGGGCCTCCCCCACTCCCCCTCCTCCTGCCTGACAGCTGTGAACCACTCTGTCCTCCCTGTGTCTGAACGGAGGGCTGGACAGGGTGGGAAGGGGTTTTGACAACTTGGGGTGGTGTCTGATTGAAAAATGCCTTAATTTCTTTGGGGCGCACAGCTTAAAATTTCTCTTGCCAAGTTATTAAAACGAAAACCTCGGAACGGCCCGTGGAATCAATTATTAATGCTTTCGTGGGTCCCATCTGATCTCACCTGTTGGGTTTAAGCTCTGTGATGACCCCACTTGTCAGGTGTAAATTTGGTTTCTGGTCTGCCTAGACAGGCAGCGCTTGGGTCTTCCTGATGGTCTCATGACTGGTGCCCGTTAGTGAGTGCCAGAGTTCCCCCAAACCTTGGCCCAAATGCAGGTCAGCTGGACCCAAAGCCACAGCTCAGAACCAGGGAGAAGGGAGGGGTGCTCCATTCCACGGTCAATTTGCCAAGTGGAGGATCATTCCCGTCCTGTGTGAGCTGTCAGGGAGAACTGGTGTCTGGGAGCTTTGATGTTTCTTTCATCGGGGCACTGGCCGCTTTGAAGGAGATACCAGCACACCAGTGAAGTTAGCACGTGGCGCGGCTGAGAGGGGCAGGGGCCTGAGATGCCCCGCGGTGGGGTTCGCACGCCTAAGATGAGAAAGGACGCTAAACAGTTTAAGAAACCGCCACAAGGAGGGCGCCTGGGTGGCTCAGTTGGTTAAGCGACTGCCTTCGGCTCAGGTCATGATCTTGGAGTCCCGGGATCGAGTCCCGCATCGGGCTCCCTGCTCTGCAGGGAGTCTGCTTCTCCCTCTGACCCTCCCCCCTCTCATGTGCTCTCTCTCTCATTCTCTCTGTCTCAAATAAATAAATAAAATCTTTAAAAAAAAAGAAAGAAACAGCCACAAGGAAAGGTGAGAGGGAGGAGACCCCAGGCCTGCGGGTGCACCAGGCACAGCTGGCCTTTCTGGTGTGCCCCACCCCCACCCAGATCCTGACCCATCTCAGGCTTGGCTGCAGAGCATCAGAGTGAGGGGCTGCTCAGGTCCCAGGGCCATTTCACCAACCTAAGCAGAGTGGCTCACAGAGGGCACAGTTGTGCCCCTTTCTGAGCCTTTGGTCAGGGAGAATTGAAAATTGAGTCCATTTGCCCCAGGTGGACATGGAGCTGTGAGCACAGAGGGCCGGGAGAACCACCTTCTCAAGCTGTCCACCTGGCCTCCTTGCGATCCTGGTGGGGTTCACCCTGCCCCACAGAGACGCTTCTAAGAGGCCTCCATTCTCTGATTGGCTGTTTATTACCTGGCATGGGGGTGCCTTCCTTTCTTGGGGGTCCTGCTGCAGACTGCAGCTCACCAGCCACGCCTCCCCCACGGGGCCTCCATTTGCCGTTTGCTGGAGGCCCAGGTGTCTGTCTGCCTTCCCACCTCCTCCACCCGAGTCTGGCCAGGGCTCGGTGTTCCTGTTATCCAAGGACCACTTTTTCGTACTGCCACCACCCAATAACAGCAAAGCAAAGTGAAAGCAGAAGCAAAAGTACAGGAAAAACAAAGCAAAAGTTAGAGTTGAAAGTAAAGTAAAAGTTAAATAGGAGCAAAGTAAGAGTGAACGTGACATGAAGGTGAGTTTGGTGAAGGACCCCTTCTTGCCAGGCCACGTGAGGGGCCCTCTGGCCCAATGCGCTTCCCCACGCTTGCCGAGCAGCGAACATGGCCCAGTCTGGGCCTTGGTATCCTCGTTCGTACACCGGCCGTGCTTGGGTAACTGGGATGGGGGCCGGCGGGGCGCTGCCTGGTCCCGGTGCCTGGGCGCAGGGAGGGCGGCTAGGGGGCCTCTTCATCCTGCTGGTTTGGGGTATGCGTGCCAGGCCACGTGTTCTCCAACCCCGGGCCCCAAAGCTCAGTCAGTCCCCCAGCTGGAAATTCAAGAGCTGAAATGTGAGGCCAATTCTCATTATGCTTTCATTTTGCTCCTCTGTGCAGATTTGATTTTCAGCGTCAAATTGCCCACTTTACCAGCATCTTTCTGTTTTAGACTCAGGGCAGCCGACGACACTGGGGGCTGGCCTTACCGCCCCCTCTGCCACCTCCTCTCTCCCTTCACCCCCTTCCATCCTCCTTAGCAGCCCCTC